TCTGGCTCCCACATTATTTAACATCTATTTTGACCACGTAGTTCGTGAAGCCTTCAATAGCTGTACCGGGGGAATCTCCATATGGTACAGATATAATGGGAGGCTGATCGATGCCCGGGTGCGATCAAGGGATGGCTCCCTATTGCTCAACCACGTCATGTATCCCGATGATTTGGTAATAGCTGCTCATTGAGAGGAGTTGGAGATGCTGCTGCTGAGACTGGAGCGTGCCACTAAGAGATGGGCCTTACCATCAGCCCCACCAAAACTAAGCACCTGCCTGGGTATTTTGTACCATCGGACACTCCACCCGCACAACTCCCAATCGGTGATGGGGCAGTTGTGGAGAGAGTGGAGAGTTTCCCATACCTGGGCAGTGTGCTTATGACCGGCTCCAGTTTAACAGCAGAGGTCTCACTCCGAATCAATCGAGCGGCAATATCTTTTCATCGGTTGCGTAACGCTGTGTGGAAGCTACCTGGTCAGTCGCTCCGCACTAAGCTTCAGGTCTTCTCGGCCACGGTCATTCCCTCCCTTCTCTACGCTTGCGAAACGTGGACCCCCCTAATGGAACATCTTCGCCGGTTAGAAACATTTAGGCTGGCCTGCCTACGATCCATCCTGGGTTTAACCAGGCTGGATTGTGTGAGGAGCTCACAAATCCTTGAAATATATGGGCACGGTGCCATCGGTGAGCTCCTCCGGCAGGCAAGGCTGCGTTGGCTGGGTCATGTAGCCCGCGTGCCCAGCCACCGCATGCCGAAACAGCTTTTGTTCGGCCGGATCGAGGGGGCTAAACGGGCGCGGCACGGGCTAGAGAAGAGATGGAGTGATGTGGTACAGGAGGACGTGGAGCTGAGTGGACTTGCCGATGACTGGTACCAGCGGTGTCAAGATCGGCCTCTGTGGAGGAGGCTCGTGAAGAACACTACTGGGCAGTTGGAGGCAATTGCCCTCCAACAACAACGGAGCGCGGAGGAGCGACGCTCACAACAACGAGCGGAGCGCCAGGTGGCTAAAGCACAGCAGGTTGGCAGTAGGGGGCACAGGTGGTGCATCAGCCAGTCATCTCAATCAGTCGACCCGTGGCACCTGGGTCTGCCCTGTGACCTCCTGCCAGCGGGCGTTCGACACTTCACGTGGCCTCAAGGTGCACATGGCCTGGCACAAGCGTCGTGGTGATGTCACCGCTACTTAGTGGCGAATGGCGGTTGTTGTTGTTTTGTTTATGTCCGGCAAAAACAACGCCCTACCTATATTCTTGGTTCTTTCGGTAAAGTCACGTTGAAGGGATAACACGGGAACGCTGTGGTGAGCAGTGTCATGGGGGAGGGCCAATTTCGATTGGCCATTCCCCTAATGGCATTTGTAGCAACCACAGCGGCCAAAGGGGGCTGTGGTCAAGTGTGAGGGGCTGGTAACCCCTCCACCTTCAATTAATTACCACAAAAAATATATCCAACTAAGCTTGTGCTGGAGGCCCTGGGGGGGGACAGGCGTCTATGACATCTCCTAGCCAAACCCCATTTGGCGGAGCCAAGAGATTGAATCCTTACCCTTGGGGTTCCTCCAGAAACAGCAAGTCACTGCGGGTAACCACGTTGAATGTTCGAATGCTCACTGCGGAGGAAAGGCTGCCACTCCTCTGTCGGGAGTTGGACTGGTACCGCCTGGATCTGTGATATTTTAGAGGTCCGGTGGACCAGCTCTGGCTCCTGCCACTGAGGGGTGGACAGTCCTCTACTCGGGGCAGGAGACTGCCAAATAACAGGGAGTGGCTCTTCTTCTGAACAACAGAATGAAGGCAGTGTGGGAGCGTGACGGTGAGGTGTGGGTAGCTGTAATCCTCAGGATATTTTGGGTTCGCCTTCCCATTAATCAGAGGTGAGGAGTGGTGGTCATGGTTACTTATGCCACCACTGAAGATAAACATACAGTGAGGGAAAAAAGTATTTGATCGCCTGCTGATTCTGTACGTTTGCCTACTGACAAAGAAATGATCAGTCTATAATTTTAATGGTAGCTTTATTTGAACAGTGAGAGACAGAATAACAACAAAAACATCCAGAAAAAGCATGTCAAAAATGTTATAAATTGATTTGCATTTTAATGAGGGAAATAAGTATTTGACCCCCTCTCAATCAGAAAGATTTCTGGCTCCCAGGTGTCTTTTATACAGGCAACGAGCTGAGATTAGGAGCACACTCTTAAAGGGAGTGATGCTAATCTCAGCTTGTTACCTGTATAAAAGACACCTGTCCACAGAAGCAATCAATCAATCAGATTCCAAACTATCCTCAGGGACAAGATTGTAGACCTACACAAGGCTGGAATGGGCTAGAAGACCATTGCCAAGCAGCTTGGTGAGAAGGTGACAAGAGTTGGCGTGATTATTCGCAAATGGAAGAAACACAAAAGAACTATCAATTTCCCTCGGCCTGGGGCTCCATGCAAGATCTCACCTCGGGGAGTTGCAATGATCATGAGAACGGTGAGGAATCAGCCCAGAACTACACGGGAGGATCTTGTCAATGATCTCAAGGCAGCTGGGACCATAGTCACCAATAAAACAATTAGTAACACACTACGCCGTGAAGGACTGAAATCCTCCAGCGCCCTCAGGGTCCCCCTGCTCAAGAAAGCACATACATGCCCGTCTGAAGTTTGCCAATGAACATCTGAATGATTCAGAGGACAACTGAGTGAAAGTGTTGTGGTCAGATGAGACCAAAATGGAGCTCTTTGGCATCAACTCAACTCGCCGTGTTTGGAGGAGGAGGATTGCTGCCTATGACCCCAAGAACACCATCCCCACCATCAAACATGGAGGTGGAAACATTATGATTTGGGGGTGTTTTTCTGATAAGGGGACAGGACAACTTCACTGCATCAAAGGGACAATGGACGGGGCCATGTACCATCAAATCTTGGGTGAAAACCTCCTTCCCTCAGCCAGGGCATTGAAAATGGGTCGTGGATGGGTATTTCAGCATGACAATGACCCAAAACACACGGCCAAGGCAACAAAGGAGTGGCTCAAGAAGAAGCACATTAAGGTCCTGGAGTGACCTAGCCAGTCTCCAGACCTTAATCTCATAGAAAATCTGTGGAGGGAGCTGAAGGTTCGAGTTGCCAAACGTCAGCCTCGAAACCTTAATGACTTGGAGAAGATCTGCAAAGAGGAGTGGGACAAAATCCCTCCTGAGATGTGTGCAAACCTGGTGGCCAACTACAAGAAACGTCTGACCTCTGTGATTGCCAACAAGGGTTTTGCCACAAAGTACTAAGTCATGTTTTGCAGAGAGGTCAAATACTTATTTCCCTCATTAAAATGCAAATCAAATTATAACATTTTTGACATGCGTTTATCTGAATTTTGTTGTTGTTATTCTGTCTCTCACTGTTCAAATAAAGCTATTAAAATTATAGACTGATAATTTCTTTGTCAGTAGGCAAACGTACAAAATCAGCAGGCGATCAAATACTTTTTTCCCTCTGTATGTTTATCTTCAGTGGTGGCATAAGTAACCATGACCACCACTCCTCGCCTCTGGTTAATGGGAAGGCGAACCCAAAATATCCTGAGGATTACAACTACTTTTTTCCCTCACTGTAACTTCTAATTTAGCAATCTTTGGAGATCGTAATCAACCAGACTATGCGTTAACGTGTGTAAGCCGACTCTCTGTGTTGCATTGCATTACATTAAAAAAATGCTATTTCATTTCTCAAACTGCCTATTTCCCTTTCAAAAATTTACCAGGCTCTCATAGGTCCATTCGCTCTTTCTCTTCCTCGGTCGCTTCGGGGTGGATTTCCACGCAACTCTCTCTAAAATGTTCCAGTCTTGTTGAGTCTTTCAGTGACGTGCTAACTTATCTGCTCCAGCAGCTACTTCAGCAGACCCACCTCTCTCTCTGCCCCTCCCCCTCTCTATGCCCCCCCCTCTCTCTCTATTTAAGGCCTCGACACAGAGGCATTGGGTCTCTCTGTGTCTATGTTGAGTGTCTCTCTCTCTGCTTGTGTGTGTCTGTGTTTGTCTCTCTCTCAAATTTAGTTCTACCTGATGACGGTTGCTTGTGTTGCAATCGAAACGTTGTATTCGATTATTTAATTTACCTTCTTTCTACGTGACTTTACCGAAAGAACCAAAGAGTAATTCCTGCAGTCACGAAAGTTTCAAATCAAGTTTGAACCACCCACTTTTAATTATCACATCCTATTTGAATAAGTCTGGGGTCAAAATAATGTACAGTATTTTCTACTTTGGAGTGCAAATAAAAACGTGTGCATTGAAAAACTAGCTTTTTTAAATATAACGTTATCAAGGCTTGACGAGGCTGGTTGTAATTACCGGCGAAACGTCGTACTCGAATCGTAAATGTTGTGGGTTTACTCTCCATCACACAGGTGTGCTGAACTAGTAACGAATTGGCATGTTTTGTTTACATGACAAACCTTACTTAATGGCTGTATCAATTATTAACCCAAAACAAAAACCTCTAATATGGACCAATCAAGGATGTATACATAAGATACGAATACCGTATTCATTTTAATAGCGTAAGCAGGTGATGCGAGCTTCCAAGTTACTCACGAGCTCATGGACACTACATCGCCTACATTTACAGCACTTGCCAATCCACTGCTGGATGAGGTCTCCCCACGCTGCTGCGGGCGGGCCGCAGGTGATGTTTGGCCATACTTCACCACGCTGGTCATACTTCACCACGCTGGTCATACTTCACCACGCTGGCCATACTTCACCACGCTGGCCATACTTCACCACGCTGGTCATACTTCACCACGCTGGTCATACTTCACCACGCTGGCCATACTTCACCACGCTGGCCATACTTCACGCTGGTCATACTTCACCACGCTGGCCATACTTCACCACGCTGGTCATACTTCACGCTGGCCATACTTCACCACGCTGGCCATACTTCACCACGCTGGTCATACTTCACGCTGGTCATAGTTCACCACGCTGGCCATACTTCACCACGCTGGCCATGCTTCACCACGCTGGTCATAGTTCACCACGCTGGCCATACTTCACCACGCTGGGCAATGGGATTTGGCGAATGCGAATACAATCACAATAAAGCGATTGACAGTGAACGCGATTTCATAACGGCGACCGTAGCTGAAGTCTCACCGCCCTGGCCATCTGTGTGCAGTCTAATAACCAAAATTTAAACATCATCACTTGCACGCGAGACGATTTTACTGAACTAATTTGCAACAAATAAAGCGTTCAACGAAACGACAAAAGAATCTTCCACGTATGCGCAGGCCCGAGACGGCGAGGGCGACCTCGACTAGCGGCTTCGGCCGCGCGAGCTGCGAGGCAACGCGGCCACCGCGACAGTACCAATGGTAGGCCTCAATGTCTGCCAGGCCGCAGACATCGGTCTGTGTTTTAAGCTAAATTATCTTAAAACGAAGTTTACGCGCTAATATAGGCGGCGATGGCTGCACTCGAGTGATTAAACTGTTAAAGGGTTTTAAATAAACATGGGTATGCGGGTAAGGCCGTGTACCATAGCGGCTGGTGGTGATGAGGCAGGAGACGGCAAAGCCACTCGGAGGCGAAATGATGAGTTGAGGACTTTAACAAGTTTCACTCTACAGACGCAGCACACCCCTCTCATCTCACTCTGCCTCCTTTCAGCTCACTCTACCTCTCCCCTCACATTTCACTCTCCTACCTTTAACCTCACTCTACCTCTCCCTTCTCATCTCACTCTCCTACCTCTCATCACTCTACCTCTCATCTCACTCTCCTACCTCTCATATCACTCTACCTCTCCCCTCTCATCTCACTCTACCTCTCATCTCATTCTCTTACCTCTCATATCACTCTACCTCTCCTCTGTCATCTCACTCTCCCCTCTCATCTCACTCTCCTACCTCTCATCTCACTCTCCCCTCTCATCTCACTCTCCCCTCTCATCTCACTCTACTTCTCTCACTCTACCTCTACCCTCTCATTGTGCTCTCCTACACTCTCCGTTATCATCCCTTATCTCACTCTGCCTACTCTCACCTCACTCTCCCAGCTTTAACCCAACAACCTCTATTACGGTTATATGGTATTATCAATGTAACGTGTGCAAACACGCTTTGTGTTTCTATTATTTACTGCTGGATGAAGACCTCCCCGTTACGTGTGAGTCATGGGAGTTGTTTGGCCATACTTTGCCATTCAGTTTAATTCCTATGATTTTATAATTGAGATATTTCATCCGGGAAATGTTTTTGATAATGTTGTGCTCTTGAGATAGGGTTTACCACCTGGAAAATGTAATTTGTGTTTGGGTGGGAGGAATATATGTGTACTGAAATGTGGTGGTGGCAGGCTGTACAAAGATGTTGGAGTTCATCCGTCATTACTACTCGACTCAGTGCCCAGAGCGCTCCCTCCCTCCTCCCCATCTCAGCAGCGCGGTCTTGCTGGCTTCCAGCGTCAACTGCAAGTTCCCCTCGGTAAGGTGATGCTCAGGTGAGAAGCTCTATGAACACGGGGAGGGGAGTAGATGGGGGGATGGGGACGCAAAGCTCTGACCATCTTGACTGTGAATGCAAGTGCGTGATGTCGAACCGCACCCTCTTTTACAGGTACAACACCTGGGGTGTGGGTTGACCTTCCAAGATAAATGTCTCTCTGCGCGCCAAACCCGTTTGGCGAGATATACTGTAGATTAATTCATGTCGCAGATGCTGCCAAGGTGTAAACCAAAAAATAGTTATGAAGGACCAACTCCTAATGTGCTGCTGGAACTCAAGTTTCCTACCAAGTGCAAAGACTTAAAGGAATTGAATAAAAAAATATAAATTCAGGCCACTCACAAAACGGTTTTGCATGTTAACGGCAATATGAATTGGTACAATACAACGCGTGTGTAAACATGCCAGTTTTTACAGCCCATTGTCAATCCACTGCTGGATGAGGGCCTGCCCATTACGTGTAAGTTATGGGGGTTGTTTGCAACACCTATTTACCAGTTTAATTAGATGTTTTTAATTCAAATGTTTTACCTGGAAAATTATGTGGATTATTTAGTCTTTTGTTTCTATCTGATAAATGAAAACTGTGCTAAATAATAGGTATTCATGTGTATTGAGATCTGGTTTTATTCTGTTGTACTTTGTCACAGTACACTGCACAGTGTTGATTTACCTAGACTGACTGAGAAGCATGTCCCAGCTTGGTCTACAGTGGAAAGGATGTGTAGTGGTTCAAATCAGGGAGGCAGAGACTTCTTAGAGGCAACACGTTTATTTAACAATAAAGCCCTAACCACGAAGGGGTATATCTGCCCCTTCACCAGCTACCCTAGGGAGGTATCTCCTCCGGGATAGCTATCCCTAGCTCACCCTAGCTAACCCTAGCTCACACGGGGTGGCTATCTCGGACTGGACCCCAGCTGGGGTCCGGGTCTTGTAGTCGGGCAGGTCTTCTCCAGATGATGGCTTCAGTCTTCATTCTTGCAACAGCCAGCCAGACCTGTTCAGGGCTCCGGCTTATATTGCCCATGGCGGGGCTTACTCCGCCCCTAGGCACGCCCCCCTTCTCGAGCATTCGAGAGGGACCTGGTTCCGGTCCCGTGGTCCCCCAGCCCCCTCTTTGGGGCCCCCGGACTGGTACCTCCGGTCACCAGGCCTCCGGGTTCACATGGACTGCCATGGCCCCGTGTACCCCTGCACCGTCCCTGGCACTCTCGCCCCCTAACCTCCAGAGGCTGGCACTGCACATTGAGTGCTGTGCCATCCATCCTTGATCGGCGATCTCAGCCGGCCCCCGCTAGGGCCGGTACTGCATTCCCACTGCAGTGCTGTAGATGGTGTGAGTGGCGTGTGTCGTGCCTCAGGCCGGCTTCACACAACATCTAGTGACATCCCCCGATGCCACTACAGATAGTAAACCACATGTTATATCTATATATAAGGGAAATTTGTGAATGTGTCTGTTCGAAATGTTTAGCATACTTCCCGACATGCAACAAACTTGAAATTTGGCATGTGGGTAGCTTCTAGACTGTGCACAATGCAAGAAAGTATAAAAATAAACTTTTGTATTTTGGGGGGGGGGGGGGGGGGCGCAATAATGCATGTAATATTTTGCATTGCAAGCAGAAGCGTTACGCAGTGTGCCTGCTAACGTCACACATTCCCTCCCCCCCCCCCACAAACCCTCCGCGTAGGCCATGTATTAATCCAAGACAAGAATCCAAGTCCCGGGCAAAGCCGGGTAGTAAAGCTAGTCTCAGATAATTAATCGGACTCCAGTGTTGTCCCCGTTCTGTTGTAATATGCACTAATACCTGCTTCATTGAGGTCGATATTGGCACATAAAATCATAAAATACAGACTGATTGATTTGAGTTAGCCATGTCTGAATGCCTTGAGGACTACAGTACTGTAGGTTAGTCGCTCGCGCGACGTAGTTATGTTCACTCAATCGCGTTATAACCAATGCGCATCCGCGTTATAAAAAATAATTGTTCCCTAATATGTTAATCTGTTATATCCTATTTGCGTTATGAAAACACACGTTATAGGAGAACAGGCTGTATGTTGAACGTCTTTTGCAAGAGCTTTCTCCAGTATGCATGGAATTATGTGGACACTCCTTTTTCCAACCCCTTGCAAAAAAAACAAACTTAAAGGAATTGGATAAACATTAAACTCGCCTTTTGCCATATTGCATCCATTCATGTGAAATTTGTAATGGTGCGGTGACACAGACCTATTCCATTTTAAGGTTATAATCCCTTGTTCATCATGATGCCCTTCTACTTCTATGTCTCAATAGCGTTACGGAGATCGCGTGACGTGAGGGTTCTGCCTTTGTATGGAGGGTTGTAAGTTGACGCCGAGGAGGGGGGAGGAGGCACCCATGTGGAGTGACGTCAGCCACTAATTATTATGAATGGAGGGCGGGGGGGTGTCCATTTGGAGGACGTCACCTTATCGTGATTATTAATTAGGGGGGCTGTTCGATGTGGAGTTGCGTCACCTGCTCATGATTATTAATGAGGGGGGAGGGTGCTCAATGTGGAGTGACATCACTCATGATTATTAATGAGGGGGTGTCCATGTGGAGGATGTAACCTGTTCATGATTATTAATGAGAGGGGCTGGTCGACGTGGAGTGACGTCACGAGCAATGCACACAGGCATTCTTGGCTCATAGTATATAATAATAATAATGGGGGGGGGGGGGGGGGCATTTGGAGGACGTCACTCACTCATGATTATTAATGAGGAGGGGTTCGGGGGGTGTCCATTTGGAGGACGTCACCTGCTCATGAATGTTGAGGGGGGCTGGTCGACGTGGAGTGATGTCACGAGCGTTAAAGACATTCCTGGGTGATTATAGTAGGTATGTGGCCACTCAAGAAACTGTTTTGCACGTGCCATTGGCAATGTGAATTGGTACAATGCAACACATGTAACACCAAGTAGCGAAGGTGTGGAGACAGTGGACCCCGATCCCACGGCAGCCCTGAGCTCCCTCGCCCGCTGCCTAATATTCTACCCAGCGTGGCCTCGCTCTGCCCCCGGCCACGCCCCCGATCTTCCCCGATGGTTCCCTCCTGTAATGATCCCTCGTGACCACTTGGCCATGCACTGTCCCTGCACCCGCACTGTCTCCCCCCATGCACTGTCCCTACATCACCCCCGTCCTCAAAAAACAACCAACGACAATAGGGTGGAACACCGCATGTAAAAAAAATAGCCGACGACCGACGCACGTTAAGGCAGCACACTGCATGTAAAAATAAATACATGACGACCAACGAACATTAAGGCAGAACACCGCATACAAAACACCCCGCTATAAGCATAGTAGACACGTTCAGTGAAACCGAAACCATTTAGACTGGGTCCTCGATGCCGGTCCATCACTTGTAGTGGGTTTCCGCGCCTCTGCGGGCAACAGGGGTTTGCATAAAAGCCCTGAAGGGAAAGGCCCCAGGATGTCAAGCACAACCAATTTGTTAATGCGAGACACTGTGATAGATTGTAAGGGGGGTTGAGATTCTTTCTCCGGTGGCTTGCGGCATGCACAATCAGTGCAAACTTTTATGAAATGGAAGACATCGTTAGACATCCCCGGCCAATATAAATCTCTTTGCACCGTAAGCAATGTTTTCTGGTGCATCAGTTTCTCGGCATGCACAGCCTGCATCAACCTGTCTCGCAGGCCGGTGGGGACCATAAGACATAACTGCGCTAAAACCTCCTGCCACTGCATTAACAACCCTTCCCAAAGGACGAACTGCGAGATCCCCTTTTGGCCGGGTTTCTTGTGGTCAGATTCCGTGTGGCGTTGCAAGTTCAAGAGGGAGACATCCTCAATCTGCAATTTTCCCCATTCTGCATGCGTGATGCCCAACATGTCGTCCCTATGTGCACCCGCCACGGTGGATGGCGGGTCATCTAAGGCCGCTACAACCCCAGGTGACCCACCCGTAGGCAGTCTACACCGGCCCACACCCGACGAGAAGCACAGCGATCATTTAACAGCAAGCGCGATAACGCATCGGCATTGCAGTTCCTCACACCCCAGCGCAAACCACTCAGAAGGAATATTCCTGGAGTATTTCTAACCATCGAGAGAGCTGGCCGGATGGCTGGTCGAACTCTCTCAAAGAGAACTGGAGGGCCGCGTGGTCCGTGCGGATAAGAAAATTTCTGCCATAGAGATAAGGCCTGTACTGTTGGATAAAGTACACCATGGCCAACAATTCTCTGCAGGTGACACAATACCGCTGTTCAGCGAATGAGAGGACGTGACTCCCGTATACAATCACCCTTTCCACCCCATTTTTAGCCTGGGACAGGACAGCCCCTATGCCGATGTCACTAGAATCCGTGTCCAGTACGAATGGCAGGGAAAAGTCTGGATAGTCAAGAGGAGGCACGTTGGAAAGGCGATCGTGCAACGCAGCAAACATGGCCTCCTCCTCTTGGCCCCATTTAAATTTCTGATTCTTCCCTGTCAGGGCATGTAAGGGTTTTGCAATCGTCGCAAACTGTGGAACCAACCTCCGGTAGTACAATGCAAATCCAACAAAACTGTGCACCTTGCCCACCGACTTGGGGATTGGCCAATTGTGCACGCACGCAGCCTTGTCCGGATCCGTCGTGATACTCTTTGCACTGACAATGTGGCCCAAATACCACACGGAGGTCTGTAACAAATGGCACTTAACAGGTTTTAATTTAAGGTTTGCCGACCTTACCCGAGAGAACACAGTCCGCAACCACTGCAAATGCTTGTCGAATGTGCGGCTAAAGATTATGATGTCTTCTAAATAAATGAGACAGGAGTCCCACCATAGTCCTGCCAGTACCAATTCCATAAGGCGTTGGAAAGTGGCCAGGGCTGAATGCAATCCAATTGGAAGGTGATTAAACTGGAATAGTCCCTGGGGCATGTGGAATGCCGTTTTTGTCTTGAACGATTCATCTAAGGG